CTCAAGCAAATCTCGGGACGTCATTCTCCCCCTGTACTCGGCCTTAGTGAGGCCGCAGCTGGAGTACTGTGTCCAGTTTTGGGCTCCACAATTCAAAAAGGATGTGGAGAAGCTTGAGAGAGTCCAGAGAAGAGCCACGCGCATGATCAGAGGTCAGGGAAGCAGACCCTACGATGACAGGCTGAGAGCCCTGGGGCTACGTAGCCTGAAAAAGCGCAGGCTCAGGGGTGATCTGATGGCCACCTACAAGTTTATCAGGGGTGACCACCAGCATCTGGGGGAACGTTTGTTCACCAGAGCGCCCCAAGGGATGACGAGGTCGAATGGTCACAAACTACTTCAAGATTGTTTCAGGCTAGTCATAAGGAAGAATTTCTTTGCTGTCCGAGCCCCCAAGGTCTGGAACAGCCTGCCACCGGAGGTGGTTCAAGCGCCTTCATTGATCACCTTCAAGATGAAACTGGATGCTTATCTTGCTGGGATCCTATGACCCCAGCTGACTTCCTGCCCTTTGGGCGGGGGGCTGGACTTGATGATCTTCCGAGGTCCCTTCCAGCCCTGATGTCTATGAAATCTATGAAATCTATGAATGTAGTATCAAATTTAACTGATTTGGCTCAAACCAGTTTATGCAATGTTTGTCCCAGTCCCCTGGCTGGTTTAAGATAAATCAGACTCCCCCAGCATCCTAGCATGCACTCTGGGCTGGCTGGGCTCTCTGCTTCACAACAGGGCTGGCCCCTCCCTTCTGCTCCGTGGCTGCAGCTCTGGCAGGGACTGCAGGCTGCTCACTCTCCTCACACACACCCCACTCCCTGCTAATTCCCCCTTCCCTCTGCGTTGCAGAGAGGTGTCTGTATATTAGCTAGCAGCCCATATGCTGGCTGTGGTCAGTGCTGAATCAACAGGTAGAATCAAGAGGTAGCAGGTAATGTCCCTCAGTTGTTTTCTTAATGGGGTGATAAACACTGAGGTAGGGGTGATAAACACTGTTATCAGTTCCCTGCTGGGCTAATCAGAGCACCCAGCAGGGGTCTGGCCACACCCCTCCTCAGCTCAGTGTTGTGGAAGGAACGCCCCCTGGCTTCTAGCCTAAGCCACTGCAGGCATGTACCTGCATTTCTAGGATGTCTGTACAGTTACAAAGTGATTCAGCCTAGCCAGGTTAGACTCACCTGCAAAGATTGAATCAATTCAGGCTCAGGCTTTCTGGATGTCTGTCCCTAGCCTTGGAATTCTGACTGCATTGTAAAGCTGTCTGCCCTGGGTGGGACACCGCGGGAGAAGAGCAGTGAGGGAGGGAATGGCTATTTGCAAGGGAAGATTAAGCCCCATGAGCATGACAGTAATGACCTTTGGAGCCCTAGTTTTTTGAAGATAAGAATTCAAAACAGGGAAGACAATATGAGGTCTTTTTCAGTTCCATTTCATATCTGCCTGTGTTGAGGGACAACATTGTAATGTTGTAGAACACTGGGAATCTTGGGTGTTAAAAAAGAGGCACAACCAATTAGATTAGTGTGTTTTCAAAAAAGCAGCAGCTTCTTGCTTCTTAAGTACTACAAGTTCTGGCACCCTGGAGGTTACTCTATGTCTTCTACCAGCATGAATGGTAGAGCAGCCACCTTAAGGACCTGAATTTCACATACAAAAACTGCCATGTACATTCATGTGAAGACTGCGAGGCTTTGACCAGGGAATTTGTCCTGTCTGTCAATAAGGTTTTTCCTGAAGGCTAACAACAGGAGTCAATGTAAAAATGCATTTGCTCACTATCAGAGGTTAGGGCAACACTTGGGCTTTTGCCTGCCTCTGTTTTAGTTGGTCTGATAAAAAATATTGGATTTACCCAAAGAACCTTGCTTTCCTTGCCTCCATAGCACTCACCTCTGTTCAGGAAGGGCAGATATTTTGGTAATATCATAAGTGCATACTCTCTGCCCTAAAGGCTGGGAAGTTCAGACAGCTCACCATCCTGACCCTGGAGGATTTAAAATTAATTAAACATTTCCTATTGCCTCAGAGCTATTTCTTTTCTGTTTAATCTTTTAATTATAATTAAGCAGTCAGCAATATAGTGGAAGCTACTGTGGCAAATTATTCTCATAGGGTCTGCTTTGTTCACCAACTCCACACCAAAAATAATATTAATACAGATATTCAGTTTCTCTCTCCAAAAACACCTCTCTCTGATTATAGAGTAGCATCTTCAGGTAGATGTCTTAGTGTTTAAGGAGTTGGTATAGAAGTGTTCTCTTATTCACATAAGAACATATGAACTATCATTACTGGGTCAGACTCTAGGTCCATCTTGCCCAGTATTGTGCGTCACACAGTGGCAGAGTGGATGCTGAAAAGGAGAGTGAACTGTGTGTGACCAGGATTTTTTCCACTGTTCCTCTCTCACTTGCAGCTTTCAGCCTCCACATACCTGAAGCAACTGGCAACAATATAGGCCTGTTGGTGATTCCACAAGAAAACAGCCTCACTTAATAATCAGCAAATTAATTAAAATCAAGTAAACAGTAAGCTTAGCTTTTATCATGCCAAGGGAAATGATTATGCAAGAATACTCCAAACCTAATTGCGTTATGATCTAACTTCATTTTTTTATTGCAAGCATAGTCCAGTGGTCACTGTTTTGAAGCCAGTCTTAGTCTTCGGCAACAGTTAGTACATAACAGTGTCTGAGATACCACTTTCTCTTTCCGAGACTTAGGGCAGAAAATAACTGAGATAGCAATGTGACAGTTACAGCATGGGTAGCAGATGGGAAATGATATTATAGTAGGGATAATTGTATTATTTAAGATAATTGATCGGTTGCTTGCAATATAAAACAATGGACATTTTTTTTCCCTATTGTGTAGACAAGGCAACCCTGTTGACTTCAGGGTGTGTTGCTTTTTCTAACGCAAGCAGTAAAGATGGTCCCTTTGCAGATGAGAAGTCTCTGGGATGAAACATTATTTACTTCTAATCTTTGTGTTAAAAGATATACAATGTTTTGTCTCTTGTCTCTTGATTTACAGTAATGCCTTCTCCCCAGCGTTTCAGTGGCGAGAGCATTATCATTTGGAGTGACCTTGATATTACTATTTCTGTACCATGGTACATTGGACTTATGTTCAGGACCCGAAAAGTTAATGGCATGTTAATGCAAGCTAATGCAGGAACTGCATCCAAGATCAACATCCAAGTAAGAATGTGACAGCATAGAAGATCATAGAATTCAGGAAATGTTCCCCAAATTTCTCTTGCAGGTTTAAACAAATATTTATCTTAATCTACCTCATTTATGGTATCATACATACCATCAAATATTAATAGATTCATTACCTTACTACCTTTACTGATACTAAAATTGAAAAGTTTTGTATGGCAAGATGATTTAAATAAATAAAAAACTTAACATTTAGATGTACACATTAATATAAACTGTCCAAACCCAAGAACACAATCTTTGTACTCAGAGCTAGTATTCTGCTTGTGATATCTGTCAGGTGGACCAGTCAAAGGTACTGCCTCTTTCCCTGAGTAAGGCAGAAAATCAGGCATGCATATCCATAAAGCTAATTATAAAGTGTTAATTTCACTGTTTTAGGATGGTGGTTTAGCGTCTTCTCCCTGATATGCTGATTTCTGTTTTAACATAGTTGAGAATTTCACTCTGGATTTGTAAATTATACTCCATATTATTTTTACTGTCTTTTTGCCTTCCTCAGCACAAACAGAAATAGAATTTCTGAAGCTGGGAGGTGTTATGACTGTAGCATTTTTCTTGCTACCACAGTCTGTAGGAAGCATTTATTGCTTGTCCTCATACAAGAATATTTCAACAATGAATACAGGTGATATTTGTTTCCAATAGATACTGAACAACTATGTACAACTTGACGTGTACAATGGCCTGAATCAGGTTGCTAGTTTGAAAATGATGCAGTCACGAGTCAGTGATGGTGAATGGCATCATTTGTTAATAGAGCTGAAGAGCGCTAAAGATGGAAAAGACATCAAGTACCTAGCAGTCATGTCTTTGGACTATGGGATGTACCAGGTAAGGCAACATCATAACAGCATTACTGAAAGTTTTTAAAAACCAGGGTTCTGGGAAGAGGACTGTGACCAAATACCCTACTGTGGCTACCCTATGCAGGCCAATTTTTTCTGTGACTTACCTTTGGTGCAGTCCCACTGCACCCAATGAAATTGTATTTTTGAACATACCTATATGAAAATCAAGTTCACATTAAAAGCTCTTCATTTCACTGATCTGTTTTTTTATGTTGTAGTTCACTCATACTTATTTTTTGATTCAGTGCAGTGTGGTAAGAATAGCAGAGTAGTTCTTGATGTTAAAATTACCACTGCTTTATCATCCTATCTATTATGCTTTTTCTTTCTCAATCTTTAATAGAGTACAGTGCAAATTGGAAATCAGCTGCCTGGACTAAAAATGAAAAGCATCATTGTCGGAGGTATCTCGGGAGATCAAGTATCTGTGCAGCAGGGCTTTTATGGCTGTATGCAGGTAAGAAGTAAAAAAATATAGTAGTAGTCAAGTTTTAACTTCTAAAACGATAGATCCTTACATATCTGATCCTTATTTCTCCTGAGTTCTTGTTATCCTGCATGACTTAAAATATCCAAGTACCACAATTTTGACTTTTCAGTTAGGAATCCAGTCTCTTTTGGTCTTGGGAAATATCATTTTTCTCCTCATAGTGCAGATCAAAGGCCAACACTTAAAGAAAAAAATATGGCTTCTGGCTAAGCAGATCACATTTCTTTAAAAAACTCAAAAGATTAAGGAAGTTAGTGAGACATATTCAATACCTGTACTGCTGTATCTGAAAGGAAAGTTCTGAGTTGAAATTATTGTTTTTCTGTACTCAAGGGTGTAAGAATGGGGGAGACATCTACAAATGTGGCTACACTGAATATGAAACAGGCAGTGAAGATCAATGTAAAGGAAGGCTGTGAAGTAGACAATCCTTGTGATTCCAATCCATGTCCCCAACACAGCTACTGCAGTGATGACTGGGATAGCTATTCCTGTATCTGCGACCCAGGTAATGGAGCATGAATGAAAACTGAGCGTGATATGGAGAGAGTTAGAACTGTTCCTGGCGTTGGTTACACAGCCAAGGCCTTTGATATTGTTTTTTAACTTCATGCTGTTAGCATAACTAGCACCTAGGGGCCTTAGATGGAACAAAAAAAGGGTCCCTGCCCTACAGAGCCTCCTTGTGTTCTCATCTTCTTTTTTCCTGCCACGGCCCTTCTCTACTGCAAGATTTCTGGTTTACACCCCCAAGTCCCAGTAGGGACATTTTAGAACTTTTCTTGTTGTTAGTCTTCATTTTAAAGTGTCAGCTGCAAATAGGTTCAGTCACCTGCTATACATGCAGAGAAAGAATATAAAGCTATTATATTCTTTTATAATAGAATATAATATTCTATTATATATTATAATATATATTTATATATTATAAAGCTATTTTGCTGAGCCATGCCCTCAGCAAAATCTCAGAAGCTGCTAATCCATGGTTGCTCAAAAAGTGTTTGCAAGCTCTGGAAAAGGCCAGCCCATTAACTGCTCACTGCAAGGAAAAAAGGTATCTTTCTTGACAGTATCTTAGGGGAAATCTACTGATTATGGAAGACATGTTATTAAGTGTATAAGCTTAAAATAGATGGTCTTTTTGAAACATGCTAATCATAAATTACAGCAGTTGCTGTAATTTTATAACCTTGTCTCCTCAGGGTACTTTGGGAGAGACTGTGTTGACGTATGTAACCTGAACCCATGTGAGCATGTCTCCACCTGTGTCCATAAACCCAGCTCATCCCATGGTTACACCTGTGAATGTGGACAAAGCTATTATGGGCAGTACTGTGAGAACAAGTAAGAGAAGAATTTTCCTTGTTTGATGTCTTGGTCATTCCCATTCCCTCTAGTCCTTCAATCAGCATAAGGCAACAGTCTCTGTTTTTGTTTCAAATTCCCCCTATTATTTGAGGTCTCATAACAGTCCCTGCTCCTGGAGAGCTCCTAAGCACTGCAAAAGACTTCAGCTCTGTTCCTGTCAGGCTTAAGAGAGCTCAGTTCTCTTCCTGGAGAACTTCACCGAACTCCTGGTCTTTGGCAGCCTGCCCCCTCCTTCTGGTAATAAGCCAGGTGAACCAGGTACCCAGCTCTTTCCTTTTGCCTCCCAGGTGTTACTTTGTCCTATTTGAATGTAACACAGGTCATTTGTAGTCCCTGGAAAATGAGAAGGCCCCATGTAGCATGATTTTGACTACCTCATCCTGTTGTCACTGTTGTTTGGGTGTCACCTAACAATGTTGAATGTCCTCCTCTTGAAAACTCTACATTTAACCCTCTCTGTTGTGGCAGTTTTGTGTATGTGATTTATATGTATGCAACCTTCTACTGGCTAGGGTGTTTTCAAATTCATCTTTGTTGTCTGGATTAGAACTGTACTCAGCACCCTCTTAGGCAGACTCCTGCCATAGTCCATTAAAACACCATGTGTAATGCATCATTTCCTTTTTCCACACATAAGCCCTGCAGTTAGAGCAAGCAGTGGAATTCACGTGCTCTCTGGCATAGGCTGCAAGCAGTATGTCTTTCCATAAATAAGCTTGTAGGGTGGAGAGTCATTTACTTGTTGTTGCCATGCATAGAATGGGGGAGTGTTGTCCCTCAGGCATTAGGCAGAGGAACTGGGTCCAGCCCACACTTGAGAAATTATCTTGCTAGTTCTCTGCAGAACAAAGGCTCTTTCTGTGTTTATTATATGTGCTTACATTTACTGAATATTATCTTCTATATTGGGGCAAATTATACTTGTTCTAATCTGATGCAGGAGCAGAATTTGGCCCCATGCCTTTTTTTCTCTTCTTTTCAGAACTAAGCTCAAAAGAGGCTGCTTTCCCTTTCATTTTCTTTTATAGAATTGACTTGCCTTGCCCCCGAGGCTGGTGGGGGAATCCTATTTGTGGTCCATGTAACTGCGAGACCAATAAGGGGTTTGATCCTGACTGCAATAAGACGAATGGAGAGTGCCGCTGTAAGGTAAGAAAAAGAAACCTGTGTTTAATGGAAATTATCTTTGGGTTAAAAATGACAGAATAGCGATAAATAAAATATAAATTCCTGTATATTCTGTTTTGTATCATATCTAGGACATACCTAATTATGCCTGAGATCAGGTATTTTTCTGAAATATTATACAGCTGCTCTTATTCACATTTCTAACTGGATAGTGGCAAACAACATGGACAGGATAAAGGACCAGATCCTGGCTTTGTGAGTCCAGACTCTGGCACTGTCTTGAAAGAATTTTAGTTATTACATTTATTATACGGTAAACAGAATAGCAAGTGAATTAACTAAACTAGCTGGGTAAAATTTACTTCCCCAGGCAGGAGGCCAGCAAAATGTCTATCTACTTGAGCAGAACAAAATAGTGGACAGGCCTGCTACTGAGTTACTACACAACAGTGAGCTTTACTCAGTAGGCTTTATAGAAAAATTATTTCCTTGGATACAACTCTATGAAGCTAATAAGGGCTTGTGTATACATAGCTGAGGACAGAGTTTAGATCTGATACACACAGGTCTTACAAGAGTGTAAATCCACTGACTTCAGTCATATTACTTCTGATTCAACCTGGTGTAACTAAGAAAAGAATCTTGCCCAGTACTTCATTTGTGAAAGCTTCCCTTATGACAGCAGGACCTATAGCCGTTGCTACGTTTAATTCAGTTTGACTCTGCTGGTAATCCGCTACTTATGTAAATTTTGCATCAAAAGCATTCAGGCCAGTGAATGGAATACATTATTATTGGTTTTACAGGATCCCCTGCATGAAACCTAAGTAAGGCAGTACAAAAAACTCAATTGCTGCTTGATGCACTTTATATTAGAATACAGTCAGCAGGACAGAGAAAACGAGAAATGTCATGTCTGTATTTATGGACCAAAACCACTGAGTGTATGATAGATAATATAGACCAGAGCTTTGGCCACAGCTCCAGCTGTTGTCCTGAATCAGCAGCCCCTGCAGCTTAAAGCAGCCAGACTGCTGCCATAAAGATGCAACCGATGATTCACTCTGATGTCAGCTATGCCAGTCCAGCAAACACAAGACTGGGAGACAGATGTGATGCTCTCCTCTCCTCATTGGCATTGCTTTGAAAATCCAACAATAATATTTCTGGTATATAATGGCCAAACCATGGTAAATAGTGGTACATCAGTGTTTTGTACAATGTTTTACAGCACTGGTGTAAATACAACAGTGTTTTACACTAGTTGAATATCTAATGGGTATGCACACACATTCTCTGCTCCAGCACAGAAGGTAGGTGGAGTTGGAAAACCTGGGAACAACTCTTCCTGTTCTGGCATGTAAATGGCACTCATTTTTTCATGCCCCTGTGTAGATTCTGCAAATACTCTGCATGAAGAACTGTCCTTGGCTTCAGGAGGAATTCTCTTCACTTAGAGCTTTTGAGTCCAAGATCTCCTGGGACTTTTCCATTCCAGAAGCTAGGACCTGGCTTTTATACATGCATATTTAAGAATCTGGGCCCCTACATTTACACAGTTAACTGTACCTTATAAAATGTTAATATTCCTGCTTCTTTAACAGAGTAGTGATCAATATATATATTTTCAATGAGGCTTCAATGAGGACAAAAACATAATTAAGACTATGGCACTACTAGATATTAGAAGGAACCACTGCCAATGAAAAGGAAGTCTTAGTGTTAGTAATAGTGTAACTGTACAAGACAGTAACTGGGCACACAATAATTCTTCAGTGCAGATGCATGAGCTTATGAAGAAGGACTAAGAAGTAAGACATATGATGTTATAACATGTAGCATCATTAAAATACTATAGGCTGTCATTAAAATTATCTCTGTTTTTGCAGGCAAACTACTATAGGCCACAGAGCAGTGACACTTGCTATCCATGTGACTGCTTCCCTTCTGGCTCCCATACACGCTCTTGTGACATGGAGACAGGACAGTGTCCCTGTAAACCTGGAGTGATTGGGCGACAGTGCAACCGTTGTGATAATCCCTTCGCTGAGGTTACCACGAGGGGCTGTGAAGGTACTGCCCACTCCATCCATCAGCTGCTGCCAATGTGCTGCTTTTTTATCTACTGGCATGCTGTTGCTTATAGAAATGGAAGAGAATTCATTGAGGTGTATTTCATTTTATTCATACCAGATTGGAATAGTTCTACCTAAGGGAAAAAACAGCAAAACATTCTAATCCTGCTGTCACTGGAACATAGAAATGCGAGTCAGTTGCCAATTCAACATGATTTTGTGCTGCTGTGCAAAAAAGTCCTTCATACCTGCTGCCATTTATCCTTGCTAAGGTTGCACCACTCTTAGAGTGCCCTCTGCTGGCGTGGATGCAAAGCCACAAGAACAGTGATTTAAAATGATTTTGCATGTCCTCTTCCCCGGCAGAAAAAAGATTTGGTGGTCTCAGTCTCACAACTGTGTCAAGTTAGCGTGAATTAGAAATTCTTGCCCAGAATAAGGGAGCAGTTAAGGGACCAGTCTGTGTTATGGTCTGACATCCAGAGTCATAAATTCACAATGAATCTTCCTTGGTCTTTGATCCCACCACTGGGATCATCTACACATGCTATTAATGCAATACAGTAAACTCCAGCACAGTTCATGCCAGAATTTATTGCTCCTGGGTGCAATGTATACATGTGTGCCCAGGACTGCAGCACGTTGAGCCAGGGCAGCACAGCCCCCAGGGGGTCAGCCTGCCAACCCGGAGCTGCTCTGCTGTGGCTCAACATGCTGCAGAGGGGCTGGCTGGGGCACAAGGGTGCTACCGTGTAGGGCTAGCCAGCAGGCAGCTCTTGCACTGTTCCACCCTTGTGCCCAAGTCACCATCTTCCTGTGCATCACGGCAGAGTAAATAACTCCATCGCAGGACATACTTGCGTCAGGCAGTACTATCCCATGGCAGAGTTAATTAATTTATTCCCGTCAAATAATGCTGCCTGTATAGATGGTGACTCTTTACTGTAGAGCTAATTAGTCAGCTCCACAGTAAAGTGTGCGTGTAGGTGCCTCCACCGAGCAAGGAGCAGATCATCAGTT